AATTGCATAACATGGGTGCACTCACATACATGCAGGAAATATACTCATACACATAAAATAAAAACAATAAATAAAATATTTAAAAATAAAAAAAAAATAAATAAATAATTGTCTAACTACCAGCTAAGTAGGTAGTAAGAGCAACTGGACCATTTATTTTTCCATTTTGGAGGATGTGGGATTTGAACAGGGTCTCACTCTAGCCCCAGACTAACTGGAGCTCACTATGTAGCCCAGACTGGCCTCAAACTTGTGGAAATCCTCCTGCCTCAGCCTCCCAAGTGCTGGGATTATAAGCATAAGCCACTAAACCTAACTAAGAAGTCTTTTTGTCTTTTGTGTTTCTGGTTTTAGACTCGGCTTTGAACCTAGCATCTCCTGCATGCTAGGCAAGCACTGGACCACTGATACTTCTTTTTCATCTCCCCCTCCAGTCTTTTTCCCACCCAACTCTACCTCATCCCCAGAAGCTTAGTAAGGACTTTGCCTTGAGACTCCTGGGTTGGCCTGGAGAGAGAGAAGCACATCTGCCAGGCCTTCAGAAGGGCAGTTAGAGGGGAACTAACTGTTCCCAGAGTTGCTTCTCTGCTGACTCTTTATCACCCTCTTTAGATTAAATAGCAAATCCAGGATTCACATAGTACCCTGGTACTCAGCCTGTGCACACACCATTCATTCTTTATCTCAGGCACAGCCAGAGGTGCCTTCTGCAGTCTGAATACCCCTAGACATCAAAACATCTTCCTTTTTCTTTCTGGAAAGTAAAAGTAGAGAAAATCCATACTGTGATCTACTTAGCTACAATTTTCCCAGGTGTCTATGGGGTATCAGCTATGTTACCACCAGATGGATAAGAGTGATTTTTTATGCAATTTCATAACAATAATTATGTTTCATTGACACTCATCAACATTGACCCACACATCAATCCTGTAATATAGATATTTCTCTTCTTTTACAGATGATGTAACTAGGATTCAGAAAGGTTAAATCATTTTTCAAAAACATGTTAATACCTGTCAAAGCCAGAAGGTTTAATATGAACTAACAGAAACTTCCTTAATCATCAGAACAATTTAGAAAATTATTTCTTCAGTGTAAGTAAGGTGGGAGGAGAATGCAATATTAAATTATAAAATTAAAGTCATGGAGCTGGAGAGATGGCTAAGAGGGTTAAGAGCTGTGTGTGTGTGTGTGTGTGTGTGTGTGTGTGTGTGTGTGTGTAGACAAAAATAAATAAATAAATTTTAATTAATTAATTAATTAATGACAGGTTTACCTTTAATCCCAGCTCTCAGGAGGCAGAAGCAGGCGGATCTCTATGAAATCGAGTCCAGTCTGACCTACATAGAAAATTTCACACTAGCTAAGGCTACAGGGAAGACCCTCTCTAAATTAAATAAATAAATAAATAAATAAATAAATAGTGCACAAGACCTGTACAAGCCCAAGCCAGACATAAAACCAACATGCAGCCAGACGTGGTGGCACACGCCTTGAGTCCAGCACTCAGGAAAGGAAGAATCAGTTTTCTTTAAGGGTATGATGCCAGCTACACTGACCAGGCTCCAGGGGATGGACCCACACCCAAGAGCATTTGGGGAACACAAATTAGACTTGATAGGCCTTAAAAAGAAAAAGAGAGGGCATGAAGTGCAGAAAGTAGGGAGGTGAGGGTGGGTCTGAGAGAAGATAGAGAAGGGGTTCTGATGGAGGGAGCCTAAATATGATTAAAATACACTGTATGAAATTCTCAAAGAATCAATAAAAATATTCTTTTAAAAAATCAATAATAAAATATTTAAAAATTAAAGTTCTTGGGGCTGGAGAGATGGCTCAGTGGTTAAGAACACTGTTCTTGCAGAAGACCCGGGTTCAAATCCCAGCACCCACATAGCAGCTAACAACTGTTATGTAACTCCAGTTCCAGGGGATCCAGCAGCCTCTCCTGTCCTCTGCAGGCATTGAATAACACAGGTGTACTTACCTACACGCAGGCAATACATGCATACACATAAAATAAAAATAACAAATATTTTTTAAAAATAAAAATTTAAGTTCTGTTCTTCCCCACTGCCTTTTTATATCTCTACTACACTGTGTACAAAGGAGTAGATACTGAACATCAGCCATATTAGTTATAAAAAGATAATTTCACTTTGAAAACTGAAGAGTGGACACTGGATGTGGTGGTACACACCTTTAATCCCAGCACTTGGGAGGCAGAGGCAGGTGGATCTCTGTGAGTTAGAGGCCAGTCTGGGCTACATAGTAAGACCATGTCTCAAAAAGAAAAGAAACGGCAGAATGTTTGAGGCTATTTAAAATTCTTTATACTTACATAGGATTGCTAAGTCTGAGCTGAGAAAAAAGAAATTGATCCTTTCAAAAAGGATCACTGTCACACCTGAGAACCTACATTAAAGTCTATTGACCATTTTAAAGTCTATGATGGGCTGAGCATGGAATATATGTTCCTAAAATCTGTTCCGGGTTTAACTCTAACTTTCAAAATAGTACTTGCCTTTAAAATGCCCCAGGCTTATAGATTATCTCCAAATTGGTGTACTTTGCTTTCTTTTGTATAAAACTGTTTTCCAATAGAAATATAATTGAGTCATATACATAACTTTAAATTACTTGGTATATACATTTTTTAAAGTATAAAGAAACTGGGTATGATGGTGGACACCCATAGTCCCAGCTCCTAGGGAAGTTGAAACAGAAGAATCTATTGAGCTTAAGAGTCAAGCCCTGCCTGTGCAATATAGTGAGAAATCCCATCTCAAGACAAGAAAATAAAAAAGATAGACATGAGATTTTAGTGATTTATCTTAACTCGGTATACAGTTGAAATACTACCATTTCAACATGAAATCTATGTAAAAATTATCAGTGAGATACACTTTTAGTTTTTGTCTTCAAAATCTGTTGTATGATTTATATTTATAGTATCATGCTCAATTTGATGTAGCTACATTTCAAATGCTTAGAAATCACATGTAGCTAATGGCTACCATATTGGACAGTGCTTTACTGTGTATTTGCTTAGAGAAATTTTATGTTACATACACAAATAGGAAATACTTCAGAATACCTAAAGCCCATTATTGACTTGAGTATATAGTATATTTGTTCGTTTTAGAGAGAGAAATGCTAGCTGGATTTTATCACTAATGGAAATCCATAGCAATGATTTCCCCTTTCATGATATGAACAGTTATCAGAAAACATTCCATTCCAGGGAAATTCAGGTGTATCTACTTTCACTCATCTGTAACCTCAGGGAAAGCTAATATGAACACCCATTTCTCTTCAGAATTTGCTTCAAAGGTTAAATACACAAAACCTAAAACCTCAAATACATTTTTTAAATGTTGGTATCATTAAAGTAGGCTGGGATATGAGTTTTATTGTAAGCAGTTCCAAAATTTACTAGACATTTGTGACTTTTTTTAATTAAAGACATGTTATTTCGGCTTTCTAGATAGATCAGTACTTACGAAAGGACTTTGAAAAAGATGAGAAGCCACGTGACAAGTCGTATCAGAATGCAGTTTTAGAAGACATCTTTAAGAAGAATGACCACAATGGAGATGGCTTCATTTCTCCCAAGGAATACAATATATACCAACATGATGAGCTATAGCACAATTTTATTTCTATATCTTTTAGCATCTTACTGTACTTTATATAGAAAGCAAAGTCACTTTTCTCCAAGCTCTATTTTCTCGTTTTCCCCTATGAAAAGGTATTTGTTTCCCTCAATAGGTGTAATTTTGTATAATAAATGTAAAGCTATTTTGCAAATTTAACTATCAGGCTAGATGTGGTTATTTCCTTTTTTTTTTATTCTATGAACACAAATTGCAGCACCATGAAATGGCCCTGTATCCCAGTGGATGATATCCCCTTTTTCAGGACTTAGAATACATATGTTAAAATCTCCTAGTGCTTACCAACTCTAATCTTAACAGCAATTATAAATATCTGAACAACTCAATCTTTTAGCCCTTAATGTGCCCTATGTTTTAAAAAATATTCAGTAAGAGACCAGGAACTAATCTCATTTGTTTATGCATTTTGAATGTTATGGAATGTGGGGCATTAAAAAAAAAATCAGTACTAGGGCCTGGAGAGATGACACAGCAGTTAAGAGCACTGGCTGCTCTTGCAGAGGACCTGAGTTCAGTTCCTTCCCAGAACCCTTATGGTGGATAGTAACCATCTGTAACTCCAGTACTAGGGGGTCTGATGCCCTCTTCTGACTTCTGCTGGCATTGAACAACATAGGTGCACTTACATACATGCAGGCAATACACATAAAATAAAAATAATAGATAAAATATATTTTTTTTAAATTTAGTAATTGAAGTCTTCCCTTGTTGTTCATGAAGGAAGTTATTAGATGCATAACTCTGACAAAGAATCTCAATAGTCTGTACTTTTTTGGTACAAGCTCCTAGCATTGAGCATTTAACCAGACCAACGTTCACTCTGTAGCAGACACTACTCTTTAAACACTGTCCTAGCATTGAGCATTTAACCAGCTCAACGTTCACCTGTAGCAGACGCTACTCCTTTAAGCACTGTGATAAATTTATTTCTCCTGTTCTCATTGTCCTTTATATCTTGTCATCCAAACATTTTTCTATCTTTTTTAATCTTTTAAAATCTTTTTTAAAATTTATTTATTCATTTTTATTTTGTGTGTATGCAGTGCCCACAGAGGTCAAAAGAGGCTGTCAAATCCCCTGGGACTGGAGTTCCAGACAGTTGTTAGCTGCCATGTGGGTGCTAGGATTCAAACCTGGGTCTTCTGCAAGAACAACCAGTGTTCGTAACTGCTGAGCCATCTCTCCAGCCCCCCTTTTTTAATCTTTTAAAAAAGGTTTTTATATTTTTATCCATAACTTTTGGTCCATGGTTTTAAAATATTTTATTTTTATTTTATGTGTATGAGTGTTTTGTCTGAATGTATGTAAGCACACCCATGTCATGCAATGCCTGAGGATGAGGAGGTGAGAAGAATGTGTTGGATTCCTCTGGAACTGGAGTTATGTACAGTTGTTAGCTGCCATATGGGTGCTGGGAATTGAACCTGGGTCCTCTGCAAGAGCAGCCAGTGCTCTTAACTGCTGAGCCAGCTCTCCAGCCCCAGTCCATGATTTTAAATTGATGACATGGCATTTCTTAGTTTCTGGTTTGTGACATTACCATGCCACATTACAACTACCTGAATAAAGCAGTCTGACTCTTAGTTTTTAAGAGTGGGCCAGAACTCAGAGGACAAGGACACCCCTTCCCCCAGATGTCTCTTAGAACTATGCCCTGGAACTGTGCTCTGGAATTACCCTCTGGGACTGTGTCATTGAGTCAGGCCTTGCCCATAATTTTATTCAAAATGGTTTGTTTCAGCTTCAATTGGGGAAGTATAAGCTAGAATCTGTGCTCATCAACAATCTTGTCTTTTCATCCCTAGCTCTAAAATTTCTCCCACACACAGTCTCAAGCATCCTTCCTCAATCTTCACGTTTTTCAATGAGGATGGGTATGCTGCCTTTCAGTACTTTGCTATGTCAATTCTCAAGCATACTCACATTCATTTGTTATGTTTTTGGGTGGAGTAATAAATTGAGGTTACCAGGAAACAAGATCAGGTACCCAGATCACAAGAGTACATGGTTCAGTGAGTTTATCATGGTTCATTAGAAGTCATTGGTCCAGATTATGCCCATTTTGTCATTCCTACACTGGTTGCCTTTCTCTTTCTCTGGATATTGCTCATGTCACTTCAACATTCTTATCTTTAATGATGAATGATCATTACAAAATGGAATGCTGTCAATGTTTTTTTTTTAATGTGAACTAAATTTTAATTTTTGTTACAAAAACTGCTAAGGCAGTTTTGTGTCATCAAAAACCATACTGTGGTTCACCTTTGTAAGAGTAGAAAGGAGATGCTGTGGAAGACCATGGTGCCAATGGAGGATACATGTTTCTTGAAATGTGTAAAGTTCTCTATACTGCACATGGAAAGGTAGGGTTAGGCAGGAAGCTCTGGCCAAAATAAGTAAGTTCAAAAGAACCGAAACTTTCTATTCTCTGTAACTTACTCTTTCCAAATGTCTGCTAATTTTTAAATCTTTTTAGAGATATTGCTAACAATATTTTTTTAGCTTTTTGAAATAGGGTCTTACTATGTAATGCAAACCAGCCACAAACTATATTCTGCTGAATATGCTAAGGTTACAAATGCCACCATGCCTGGCACACTGTCAGATATTCTATTTAAAAGTACAAGAGTAACACAGAAACTATTACGATAGTAAACACCATACATGCAGACTGAATTTGACACCTTTGCTATCCTTTCTTCCTAGTATTTTTTTACTTCTCAATTTTCTAACACTTCTCATTTGCTTAATTCTTTTGTCACTTAACTGCCCTCAAAAAAAAAAAAAAAAAAACCTACATGTTTGAAGTAAAGTAAGTGAATACATGAATACCCATTTTAGCCCATCATGTTTCATACAAAGTACTTGTGTGGGCTTTTTGTTTGTATTGGTTTAGGGTTTTTATGAGACAGGATCTTGCTAGCTGGCCTGAAACTCTTTATGCAACCTAGACTGGTCTGAAACTCATGATCTTCCTACCTCAGCCTCCTGAGTGCTAGAATTACAGGCAAGTACTACCCTACCCAGTATATACAGTTTACTTTTAAACTTATAAGAAAAATGCAGGCACTAGGGGTATGGTGGTTTGGTTGGTAGTGCTTGCTAACATACTTGAAGCCCTGGATCCAATCTCCAGCACCAAATAATCTGGGCATGGTGAAACATACCTGTAATCCCAACACTCAGAAGTAAAGGCAGGAAAATCAAAAGTTCAAGATCACCCTTGACTATATAGGGAGTTCAAGGCCAGCTTAGGCTATATGAGACCCTGTCTCAAAAAAATTTTTTTTAAGTACATATTATGTTAAATGAATACATATACCCTAAAACTTACAACTTTAAAATAGTAATTTAATGGAATCCTACTGAAACTGGCCAACAGCCCATGGAAAACAGATGATGTAGAGACCTGAAAGTTCAGTGCCTTGCCACAATGGGAGGAAGATCATCCCACTGCTACCACCCCGTCCAAGGCTCAGGGACTTTTATGGAAGTTCAAGGAAAGAATGTAAGAGCCAGAGGAAGGGGTGAAGTGTTAACTGGAAATGTCCTCTGACCACTATGCTGGCAAGCTATAGTCACACCTCCTTCCCACTCTCATCAAGGAGTCGGGGCCGGGGGAGTCAGTTACCCCTCCCACCCAATCAGTCAACTTTAGCTGCATGTGAGGGGAAGGGGCAAAGGATGTATAAGCCAAGAGGCACCTTTTTCACCATTTTGTACAGCTGTTGGGAGGTCACAGGATCTGTATTTGAGTGTGGACTTTATGGCACAGCTGTAAATGTAGGGTGCCCACTCTTCTGTAAATAAACCCCTACCCTATGCTCTGTTAAAAAAAATTAAAAAAATAGTAATTTAAATAAATTATGGTAATATAAATCATTACCCATTCTACATATATGCCACGTGCAGGTGTTCCGTACCTACATGATTGCTTTATGTCTTCTGATGCATCTACCTAGGACTGAGTGCTGTTGCTTCATTTTGAGTTCTAGAGTTTTAAAATATTATTTTTACAACTTTTTATAAAAGTAGATAACTTACTAATTTTTCCATTTGTATATGAAAAGTTCACATCTTCCAGTGTAGATGATCTAGGCTCACATAGTGGCCTGTGCCATAACCCCACCTGCACTGGAGGTTGAGGTGGGAAGGTCATTTGAGCCCAGGACTTTGATGCCAGCCTCAATAACATAGCAAGACTCTGCCCCCCACCCAAAAGAAGGTATTTCAGGACCAAGTATGCTTAATGTGTTAAACATTTTCAAAGATATAGAGACGTCCTATCTGCTTTGACTTTAAAATGACAGCGAGTTTTACAAAGATAAAATTAGTCAGCATTGCCTCCATCAGTTATCCTGTTAACTATGCTGCACTCGACATTTTAATCTGATACTTCAATGAAACATTTAGGAGTATATTAAATTATTAACACATTTTTCTCTTCTTACCAAACCTAGGGCACTAAAGGGTCATAAAGTAGCTGCTTGTGCCCATGTGTCACCCTTAACTGTTGAATTAAAATTTGATTAAATATAAAATTGATATTTAGAAATATCTGAACTATATAAAAAGTGACCTAAAATGATGGACTGACTCCCAAGTGATAAGGAAATAACAGACATAGTTGTGAAAGAGTGCTTCTTTTTGAATTTGATATTTATACTCTTTTGGGGTTTGTTTTTTGAGACAGAGTCTCCCTATAGCCCCAGCTGGCCTGGAACTTGTTATGAAGGCTAGGCTGGCCTCCATCTCATAGAGATCCACCAGCCTCTGCCTCCTGAGTGCTGGCTAAAGGCATGCACCACCATGCCTGGCTAAACTTTTTTTTACATAATCATGTTATCCATCTTCATGAGAATGTGAGGACAGCATCATCTCCTCCTTATGGATGGAGCACTCTGTTCACACTAGTTCTCTGCTTCTCTTTAATTCATCCAAGCAAACCCAAATAATTTATGAAAGGGTTGTGACACAATTGTACTTAAAACACCAACAGGCAGATTAGCTTTTCTTTTTATTTCATTCTCTTGTGCCAAATATCAAAACAAGGAACTGCATGGAGCCTCACGTACTTCATCCCATCCACAGAGCACTGGAAGCACCCATAGACTGTCTCCCTTTTCAAGTTCCCCATTCCACAGAGTATGCAGGGCCCTTTAGGAATGTTGTGGTTCAGTAAGTTCACTCTGATGTGAGTCCCCTCCTTGAGAGAAATGTCAGTCATGCTGAGAGGTTTGTCATAGTAGTCAGAAAAGAGATCATCCAAGTAAAGTTGGGAACGAGAGATGGCATCCATCACCCTCCTGTCTACAAAAGAGAAACCGGAAATGTGTTAGAGCCACCCAAACTGCATTTATAAATGTATGAATCCAACCCACCCAGCATGAAATAATTTGGCTTTTAAGATTTTCTTTAGTAGATGGGACTACTAAGTACACAATCTCACATATTCATATGAGAAGAAAAAAATGCATTCACAAATACTCTTCAATAGACATACTTCTTTCAAACAGTATATTTCTCAGCCGATAGAGCAGGGCAAATGATGCCGTTTCTTCCCTTTCAAATCCTCCTTTTGACACTGAAGTGACACAAAGGTCTACAAAAAAAATTTAAGATGATGTTATAACTTAACTCAGATTTTTTTGTTTTATAGGTGCAATGATTAATAAATGCAGTTTACTGGGTTTGTTAAGTTTTACATATTTTGAGAAAATTCAGAGATTAAAAAAAAACAACAACAAAAAACAGTGACACACCTTAAGCCCATCCTGGACCTGGCCGGTGTTCCACCCCAGAAGCACTGGTATGTACCTTGAAAATGCTTCCAGACATAATTTCTTACTGTACATACTTCTTTAAAAATCTCTTAGAGATTATTGCATGCCCCGTATCTATACAGTTGCCCAGCTCTTAATGGCTCATGCTATTCTGCTGTAGGCATGAGATGCACCACTCCTGAAGTCCTCCAGGCTGTCTCCAATATTTTGCCATCAGGAACTAAAGACCATCATACCTATATCATTGTAAACACATCTCAGTACACCTCTAGCATAATTTCTGGAACTGGGAGAGCAAAGAACACATACATTTTTGGTTTTGATGAACGCCAGTTTATATTCCTCTCTATAATCAATTTATAACTACAAAAACCTACATCAAAAGGTTCAAAATAGAAGTTACTTAGAAGGTAGTTTCATTTCTAGACTTCCTAACCCCTCCTCCCACAGAAATGAACAAAAACAGGTCTAAAAATGCTGGTAAATTACCACAGCTAGGGACTCCCTTGCCTGGTCCTTTGGGGGCTACATCTGGTCTTGTGCTGGCTGGCAGTCAACTAACTAAAACCTGTGAAATGCAGAAAGCTAAAGTAAGCTGCACTGAGCTACCATTCAAGCAGACGATTGTAGAAGAAGCACTTGTACTTCTAATGTGCATTTTCTACTTTTATTTTTAAGAGTATGCAGCTAAGGCCAGGCGTGGTGGCACAGACCTTTAATCCCATGACTCAGGAGGCAGAGGCAGGCATATCTCTGTGAGTTTGAGGCCAACCTGGTCTACATACTGACTACATAGCGAGTTCCAGGCCAGCTGAGGCTACAGGGAGAGCCTGTCTCAAAAAGACCGAAAAAAAGAGCATGCAGCTAGGAAGTTATGTCTAAACAGGTGAAAAAACAAAACAAACACATAAAAGAAATAACACCTGTGTGCCACAATTTGGCTACCAGACACTTCAGCCATCTTGATCTTGCTATCTTTAGATTCCTATTTGCCACCACCCAAAGCTACCTATTAGGTCATTTATGATCCTTCACATGTAAGCTAAGGAATATCTTTTCAGTGAGTGGTCCTCATGTCATTCCTAATCTAAAATTCCAAGTAGTGTAGTACGGAACCTTCACCAAGAAGCACAAAAGAGGAATAGGATAAGCAGGGGAGGGAGGGCCTTTCCCAGCTCATTCACCCTAATGTAAGACTGACTGTCCTGAATGAATGCACCATGTTTCTATAATCCTAAAAGACAGAGGAGATGGAAAAGGAGGAAGGGAAGGAGAGGGAAGAGATTCATTCCTAGTAACTTCTTAAAAATATAATCACGTGTTTCAAGCACATCATTCACTCACCAAAGGCACCATCCAGATAAATGAAGAGCTCGAAAACACTGAAAGCTATGGTTGTATGTGCTGGAAAAACAATCGCTTTTTCCCTTCCTTTGGGATTCTGTTCATCCATGAAATGAAACTACATTAAACAAATAGATAAAATAACATTATTAAGGAGCATAGCAGGGCAGGATAGCTTTTTGGAGAAACAGACCACTTCCTATAATCCAAACAAAACAAAACCTCTGCAACTGAAGAACTGTCTTGCTTTAATTAAACTTTATAGTAGAGATCCCAGTGTGCCATGGGGCTGTGCTCTCTATTAAAGAACTCTTCAGTTTGTCATTTAGCTTGCTATGAAAGCCAGTGATTAGTGTTACCCCAGTTGCAATACTTTTGCAGTAGAAACATTTTTCTTTTTTTAAAAAAAAATTACTTATTATGTTTATATTGTGGGTATGAGTGCTTTGCCTGCATGTATCTAAGTGTACCACATGCATGCAATGTTGGTGGAGGCCAGAAGAGTGCATCAAATTCCCTGAAACTGAGGTAAGGACAAGATGTTAGCTGCCATGTGGATGCTGGGAGCTGCTGCCATGTGATGACGGGAGAGCTAAACCTGATCCTCTGGAAGAGCAGCCAGTGATCTTAACCACTGAGCCATCTCTCCAGTCCAGAAACATTTTTATTTTAGGCTCACCTATTTACTGTTCCAAAGGCCCCCAGATCTGTAGGCAGCTTTCCCAATTACCAACTTATTTTCCAAAACAGTCACCATAAAATAAATCCTTCAGTTTGTGTCCCTTTAATAACCAATGTTAACCAGAATTTGAAGGATACCTGAATACAGATTCTGAACAGAACCTTTACTTGTAAAGACTTTATAATTACGTAATTGATACAATGAGATATGTTTATGAGGCAGAGCTTAGTATTCATTAAATGTCTTAGTCATCTTACATAGATTATATATACGTTAAATTACAATTAAAGACAGTTGAAAAGATGACCATTTAATCCTGTATTTCTTTTTTTAACTTTATTTCTGTATTATTAGTGTGCACATGATGTGTGTGTGTGTGTGTGCGTGTGTGTGTGTGTGTGTGTGTATATGTAGACAGGAATGCATGCCACTGTGTGCACATGGAGGTTAAAGGACAACTTTGTGGAGTAAATTCTCTCTTTCCCTTTTTACATGGGTCCTAAGGATTGGACTCAGTCACCAAGCTTGCAGAACAAGAGCCTTTACCCACTGAGCTGTTTCAATGGCCCTAGTCCTATATTTCTAAAAACCAGTGGCTTTTTTCTTTAAAATTTTTTATCAACACCGTATTTGTACACATTTATGAAAAATAATGTGGTGTTTTGATTCCTGTACACATAAGGTAGTGATCAACTCAAGGTAATCAGTATATCCATCACGTTAAACTTCTAACATTTCTTTATAGTGAGTACATTCCTCTCTTCTAACCATTTTGAGAAATATATTACATTGTCAATTAGATTCACCCTGCTATGCCACAGATCACCAGAACTCATTCCTCCTATCAAACAATAGCATTGTACCCATTGATCGAAGCTCCACTGTACCCATCCAGCCTCTGGCAGACACTATCTGTTCTCAACTTCCAGGAGATCAATGTTTTTCTTTTTCTTTTTTTTGGCCGGGGCGTGGGGGGGGGCGGTTAGCATTAGGGCGTGCGTGCGTGCGTGTGTGTGTGTGTGTGTGTGTGTGTGTGTGTGTGTGTGTGTGTGTGCGCGCGCGCGCGCGCGCATGCAGAGGGTGTGTTCACATGTGTGCATGCAGGTGGAGGCATTGGATGTCTTCATCTTTTACTCTCCACCTTAATTCCAAGACAGGGTCTCTCACTGAACTGGAGCTCACCGGTTAGGCAAGATTGCTGGCAGGGATTCAGCAAGCCCCAGGGATCCTCCTGTCTCTGCCACCTCCCCAATGCTGAGATTACAGGTGTGCACTGCCACACCTTTTATGTGGGTGCTGGGGATCAAACTCAGGTCCCCATGCTTGCACAGCAAGTGCTTTACAGACTATGCTCTCTGGCTCATTTAAAAAAAATTAAGTTACTATACAAAGTAATGGGCTTCATAATAACGTTTTAATATATTTATGTCAATGTACTTTGTTCTGATTTATCCTTCTCCCTCTGCCCCCATCCACCCACCCACTGCTCCCCTTTCTCTCCTCAAACAATCCTCCCTCAGCTTTCATGTCACATCTATTCCATTACCCACCCACACCAAGATCTCTCTTCAGCTTTCCTGGTCCCCTTTCTAGAATCATGACCTACACACATATAAATAGACATCAATATAAATTTAAAGCTCAATTCTGCTTATGAGAGAAAACATGCAGTATTTGTCTTTCTGAGTCTGATTTATCTCACTTAATGTAATAATTTTCAATTCCATCCATTTTCCTGCAACTGTCATAATTTCGTTTTTATTTACTACTGAATAAAATTTTACCTAGCAAATGATTTTTAATCCTACCAAATCGCTGCTAGGTGTCATTGTTGGAGAAGGATAAATAATATAATTAATTTTCTAAGTTTTAAAAGGACCACTGAATGAAGCATGTTTGGTGATTGATAATATTAATTTAGAATGTATATCTTAATATAAAAAATAAACTCAGGGTGAGCGAGATGGCTCAGCATGCACACTGTGGCATGCATGCTTGCTCACACACACTCACACACATACACTCATGCACAAAATAAATAAATATTTAAAAATTAAATGCAAATTCAACTTTTAAAAATTCAGTGTGAATTACAGTATTGAAAAATCAAAATGACACAGGTGAGGTGGCAAATGCCTTTAATCCTAGTACCCGGGTGGCAAATGCAGGTAGATCTCTATGAGACTGAGGCACCCTGGTCTACATAACAAGTTCCAGGCCAGCTGGGACTACAGGGAAACCTCTCACAAAAACAAAAAAGGGACTGGAGAGATGGCTTGGCAGTTAAGAGCACATGTTACTCTTGCAGAGGACCTGGGTTCAGTTCCCAGCACCTATATGGCAGCTAATAACCATCCATAACTACAGTTCCAGTCTTCTGACCTCTGTGGATTGCACAACTCGGATATACTTACATACATGCAGGCAAAAAAATCATACACGTAAAATAAATAAAAATTAAATAAACAAATAACTGATAAAATAAAATAATAGAATAATAAAATAAAAAGGGCCAGAGAGATGGCTCAGTGGTTAAGAGCATGTATTCCTTTCCCAGAGGACCTGAGTTTAATTCTCAGTAACCACATCCAGTGGCTCACACTCCTGGGAGATCTGACACCTCTGGCTTCCTAGAGCACCTACACTCATGTGCACATACCCATGTGCACATACCCACACACACACAAATAAATAAATAATAAATAAATATCTTAAAAAGAAATCTTAAAAAAAAAAGAAAAGAATGCAACTTCAGGATTGACTTTTGTTCTTAAAACAGTACTTAGGTCTATTTAATTGGAGAGATTCTACACACATTACTTCACAACGATTAGTGATTTGTTTGTATGAAATTACACATATTTAGAACATATCTTGTCTTGGGTTGTTTCTCCCTGAAACCCATATACTCCAATACAAAACCCTCTACAACCTCTGCTTCTTCATCTCTGTGCTTGATGAAAGGCACAAACCTCATCAAAAATTGAGTACTTTTTAAAAAGTTTCACGTCAAGTTTTTAGTTACAAGCAAAACCTGTTGAGTGTGATTTACCCGCATGGCTTCCCCTCGAATTCCCGCGTGCACAGACAGTGAGCACTGGCGTGTGGTTCGGATACTTTCCATGACCACGCACAGCACTGCCTTTCGGCAGCTCCTTGACTGGCGGATCAAACTGTGGTCAAAGTTAATTTTTCTAAAATAAAGAAGATACATTCAGGAGATTCTTTAATATATAATTATATAGAATTGAGGGCATTTTCTGTGTTATTCATGGTCCATGTTAACTATGTGTAAATTAAGGCAGACAGTGTAAATCAGAACATATAAACAAATAATTTAAATAATCTGCCTCTTCCTTGTTTTCTAGTTTTATAGAGTGGGAGGTGTTGTTTCTTCTGTTTTCTGGTATTAGAGCTTGAACCTAGGTCCTTGTGCATGTTAGGCACTGAGCTACATCCTAACACCTCTCTCTCTCTCTCTCTCTCTGTCTCTCTCTCTGTCTCTCTCTCTCTCTCTCTCTCTCTCTCCTCTCTAATTTTAATTTGAGACAGGGACTCAATAATTTTCCCAGGGTACACTTGAATTCAGTGTGTAGCCTGAATACACTTTGAGGTTGTAACCCTGCCTTGGTCACCCAAGCATCTGGGATAACAGGCCTGTACAGCCTGGCTCCTCTGGTTTTCTTAAAACATACTTCTAAAGAATGTTTTATTCTGTCTTTTGGGAGTCTGTTGAAAACACAGACTCATATTATTTCAATGTGATAATTTAGCAAATGTGTTCAGAATCATAGTGATTTTTGTGCAACAACTCAAAACTGATTTTAAATCAAATGATTTCTGAATATGTGTTGGAGACCATTACCTTGTTTGAAGTCTGCCAAAAGTATGCTTGGTGTATTAGCAGAGTCAATGAAGTCGCAGGTTCTGAAGTGCAGTGTCCCTTATGTTTAGATTAGATTAAAAGGCTATACCTTAGTCACACTGTTTTGTGAACATCTGATCTATACCTTATAAACATTCCATTTTGGTGCAAATAATTTCCTAAGGCCTTGCAGAGAAATGTCCCTTTGACCTGCCTACCTTTTGTTCCTAAATGCCTGCTTAGAGCACCTTAGCCATGCTAGTAAAAACTTGGGGACAGAGGGACTCTTTCATACAGTTAAAGTGTCTCGTGTATTAGGTTAGACTACACCTTCACTCTTCTGTACCCAGCACCACCCAGCTGTGCAGGACAGAGCAAATATGTACCCTTACCCAATGTTTGGATATACTAATAATTTGAAGTCATTCAAACAAATAAAAAATAAATAAATTACACTTGTAAAATATAACCCAGATGTTTTAAGTATTCTTTGCAATGAAGTTTAGATATTTAAATCATTTAATGAGAACACAAGTATACTGGGATATTTGTACTGACCTGGCAGTAATTTCCTTAAGTAATGTTGATACTTCCACTTCATGTTTGGTTACGACACCAAATGAAGCCTTTACTGCGATGGAATCAGATCCAGTAACATTGATGCCAACATCATTCACAATATGGTTGCCTCGTCGTCCATAGAGGGAAACATCTGATTCATCTTCATAATTCAGTAATTGATAAGAGGAAATACCTAATGAGAAAGAACTTAGTATTTCTTTTTTGGTTTTTTTTTGTTTTTTTTTTTTGAGACAGGGACTCCCTGTAGCCCCAGCTGTCCTGGAACTCACTATGTAGACCAGGCTGGCCTGGAACTCACAGAGATCCACCTGCCTCTGCCTCCTGAGTGCTGGGATTAAAGGCGTGCACCACCATGCCTGGCTAGAACTTAGTATTTTTTAAATGTCTCAAATCTATAGATTTTTATATAGTGTCATATTAATTTGTAACTTGAAATCTTTTTATCCAAATGTTAATGAGAAAGCATTTCAAACCAGATGAAAAATAATATTTCAGTGAATTTTACAACAAAAAACACAAATGACAGAATAATTAAAATGCAATCAAATTCTCTGTTCATACATTGGAATATCATAGACATTAAGATCCACTGGGCAATTAAAAAAAAAACAAGAATTTATAAGCAATAACTTGCCATTATGTCTATTTTATGATCCAGCTTTTAAAATACATGTCAGGGCTGGGGAGGTGGCTCAGCTGGTAAAGTACATGCTGTGCAAGCATGAGGATGAGAGTTCAACTCAAGTATCCCACATTAAAAAATACATTTGATTATTACCAATTGTAATAAATCAACTGTAAAAAATTCAAATTACTTTCATTCAATTATGTGAAAATAGATAAGATCAAATAATATTCAGTATTACACATGGAAAATGCATTTTCTAAGTTGATTTAGTCAATATAATTTATAATTGATTTTAAAATTCAATCAATGAGAGACTTGATTCTATAGAATTTCACATTGTTCAATTTAACAATATTACACATAAAAGTTATTTATTCATAAAATGTGTACTGGTAATATAATTAATCAATACAACCTATGCTCAGGTTATTAATAATACAACCCTGTAAGAAGTTACTCCAAAACATTTAAACTTACCAGCTGAAATTTCTCTGTCTCCTATGAGAATATCTTTCAGTGTAAAAGGTGTTGAGGCAAATTTATATCTAGGAAACAAAAAGCATCGCTTTTTTTTGACCACCAGACTGAGAGGCTGATATTTGTCAGCTTCACTGAGGCTTGGAACAGGAACTAATCTCCCTCCATCTCCAACTTGCTTGACAAAGCTCTTGGTGGCAGCAGCAAACATATTAATATCAAAACGTCATCAACTGCGTCCCTCAGGTAACAAATCCATGTTCAAAGAGGAAAATCAGGCAAAAAACAAAAGAGTTGCTTGACTCTAAGTACAATTACACAGGTTAAAAACATAAAGCATGGTCTCACCAAGTGGTTTACCAGCATGCAGTTCACAATGCTGCCTCCCTCAATGTGCCGAGGTAATGAATAATAGATAACAGTGTAAAATGATACACCAAAGTAAGTCTAACTTGGAATGGCTATCTACAGAACTAAAATATATGCAGAGAACGAATCCAAACACGCTACCAATGTCCTTGATGAGACGACAGCTGAGGGTGCTCCCCCAGCAGCAATGGGCCAGTTTAGAAGTCAAAGCCCTAAGGAAATCATTTGGGTGCTAACATTAGGCTGGATACCATCTGCAATGGTAATTCACTGACAAGTCTACCAGGTGAGTTTTGGCAACAGAAAGCACTGTTTTGAATCCTTACAGTGTACAGAGCATTTCATTAACATGAATGTGAGCATTCCATTAATTTTCGGTTTTGTATCTTTATGAAACCAAGTGTTTATTATCAAATATAAGTTCACAGAAAAAGGGGGAAATAATTGTACACAGATCTTTATAAAATTCTAGATTAAAGTCACATTACAAATTAAAAACTACTACAATTCGGTGGATAGTACAGGCCTTTGATCCTAGCACTCAGGCAGATGGTTGTTAGTTCCAGGCCAGCCTGAGCTACAAAGTATCTTCAAAAAAAAAAAAAAAAAAAAAAAAAAAACCTAAAAAACTACCAAGGAAGTCAAGGAAGTTTTTTTACTCAGAAGCTTGACAGTTCAGACCCTATCACCTGCCAGAGTGCTGCCAAACAACCTGTAAACAAAGTTATATAAGGGTTTGGCTTATTTTCAAGAAATTTTGTGGCTACAATTAAATCAAATTTTAGAAACAAATCTATACTGAGACATTGTATTGCCACAGGTGATTAATATATTTTGAAAGTCTCTGTGGTCCTTACAATAAGATTTTATTAAAACCTAAGAGTAACATAACATTATTGGATAGTAATTTATACACTTAATACAGGAATAAAGAAACAGAATAGGCTTTATCCATGCCCCAAAAGAATTTAATTTGATTAGATTCTAGATATTTTTCACTTGCCTTTCAAGTATTTAGGGCTCATATGCAACAGAAAGCAAATGTCTTTTCCATGATAAGATTCTGTATGCTAACCTAAAATCTTTAATTTAAAAAATGATTTTAAGCAGCCTCTTCGTGCGGATACCATTTGCACAAATCCATTCTGGAGCATCAAGTCAGTATAGGGAGCCATTTGCATAAGTGGCTAGCAAACCTAAGGCTACCTTCTCCTGTTCTGGTTTGTTTCTCCATCGCTGTGACAAAACTCTGACCAATACCAACTTTAGGAAAAAAGGGTTTATTTAGCTTTACATCTCCCCGTTACAGTTCTTCAGGGAGCCCAAGGTAGGAACTCAAGGCAGGAACCTGGAGGCAGGAGCTGGAGCACAGGCCATGGAGGAATGCTGCTTACTGGCTTGCTCTCCTGGCCCCTGCTCGGCCTGCTTTCTTATACAACACAGGCCCACCTGCCCAGGGGTGGCACCACCCACAGTGGGCTGGGCCCTCCCACATCACTCAATAATAAAAAAGATGCCCCACAGACATGGCTACAGGCCAGTCCAATGGCGGCAATTACCCAATTGAGGCTCCCTCAACCCAGATGTGTCAAGCTGACACTAAAGCTACCCAGCACAGCTCCCAACACACTGAAGGTGGCGCATCCCAGGCAATCACCATCTCTACGCACAGCAGTTTGGCGGGAGGAACGAGACTGGGAATCGCTTGAGAAAGGCCTGGCTGTACACCAGACGTGCCCTGAGGGGCAGGGCGGCTTCTGTGCCATCCAAGACCAAAGCCTGCTGCAGGACAAAGGAGCCTGCCCAGACCGGACTCCGGCGGACAGCGGGCGGACAGTGAGCGGGTGACCCACGCCACAGGCAGCGCCCGGCCGCAGCGCGAAGCCGACCTGCCCCCGGTCTCAAGTGCCTGAGGCAAACCTCCCGGAGTTTTCGCAGCAACTTGGCATTCGGAATTTTCAAACCTTTCTTAAAGTGGCCCGACCCTCATTTTCTATCCTCCCTACGCTTCAAACGTGCTGGCCTTGAGGCCTACTCCAAGCTTTCTCCGCTGGGAGGAAATCGCCTTCCTCTAAAGACAAAGAATTGAGATGCTGCTCCGTTAAGGCGGGAGGTCAAAGACCAACTGGGAAACCCCAGGCGCCGAAGAGGGTCGCCGGCAGGAGCAGGGAAGAGCCGGGACTAGCAGAGAGGGCGGAGCCTGCAGGGAGAGGGGTGGGGCCCGGAGCCGAGAGACTATAGGAGCCGCAGTGGGGAGCTGGGAAGAGCCGGGACTGGTGGGCGGGGCTGGAGGGGAGAGGGGCGGGGCGGGCGCTGTGGCTAAAAAGAGGCAGGACAGGAGCGGGGCGGAGCCTAGCGGAGGAGGGTGAGAGTCAGGGCAGAGAGGGGTGTGGCCAGCTCTTCGGCACCGAAGCCCCTCCTCCCCCGCCCGCCCCGCCGCCTGTCCTCTTCGCTGGAGGGACGCAGGCAGCCATCAGAGGGGGAGTCGGACCGGCAGTTCTGGAGAGCTCCTCTCGGGGACTGGCGGACGCGGGCAGCGAGGACCCAGCCCCGCACGGCTCTCCCTCGCCTTGCCCAGCCGTCCCTTCCCGCCATGTCCCAGGGCAGGTATTGCGCCGAGGCCCCGCCGCTGGAGCACGAGGACAGCGGGACCTTCAGGTCAGCGCTGGGCCGTTGAGGCCGCAGGCCCGGGAGGGGTGGGCAGCGGGCAGGGGCGGGGAGCCGGCTGTCGGGCTGCATTCTGGGTAAAGCCCCTTCCCGCTCCCAGCGGCCCTGGGTCCGCCCTCTCGGCCGGGGGGTCCTCCGCTCGCCCCGCCCCTCAGGCATCCCCCTGAGGCTCCGGGATCCCGAGGTGGTGAGGGGTGCAGCGCGTTGATCCGGGTGTAGGTTCGGTTTAGCATCCAGCGCCCGAGCCCACCCTGTTCTCTGGAGAATCCCTCCCTTCCCTGCTCTCAAGTTCTCAGCACAGACCTCCCTCCCTCATCCAGTTCGCGCCCGCCGAGTGGCTGCAGCTACAGGAGACAGGTGCGCCCAGGCCTTGCGGCTGGCCCTGGTCGCTGGGGAGCTGTGGCGCCTTCTTGTCACCGTTGGTGGCTTTTGCTTCCCTATCGGCTTTGACATGCAGAGCATACGTTTTTCTGGTTTTGCAGTTTGGGGAAGATGATAACAGCCAAACCCGGGAAAACACCGATTCAGGTATTACACGAATACGGCATGAAGACCAAGAACATTCCAGTTTATGAATGTGAAAGATCCGATGTGCAAATACACGTGCCCACTTTCACCTTCAGAGTAACCGTTGGTGACATAACTTGCACAGGTCTGTATGCAGTTAGCCCCTTTGGCCATATGGATTGGTAGTCCAGACGTTGTGTTGCTTTTCAATTAGAAAAAGTGCCCCCTTCTACCAAAGACAGTTTAGGAAGCAAGCTCTCCCCAGTTCTATGTCCCTGAGATATGAGGAGGCTCAGAGACTAGAAACGGTATCCAGGTATCCTTCGAGTCTTCTCTTACACTTTGGGAGCCTGCTAAGGTTCCTCTAAGAATTAGAGAGAAATGGGAAATGTTCCTAGAACTGTCATAGCTAGCTCAGTAGGCGCTGCCACATTTCAATCTTCCAAAAGTTATGGCAGATATAGAGTAGGCATGACCCCAGAATTTTCTAAGCTTTCCCCTCTCTTAATAGAGACATTTGGGACTTCAGATTCATTGTACAACTCTTCATTCTATGCCTGCAAAAAAAAAAAAAAAAAAAAAAAAAACAAAAAAAATTAAAAACCCCAAGC